TAATCTTAAATAAAAAGATATACATGAAGCTACTGTCGCAATCTAATGTTCGATTGCGTGCGCAGCCAATCCACGTCATGTGGTTTATGTAAAAACTGCTAGCGCGGCAGTGAACTCCCTCACTTCGCCCTTAGCTGCAGCGTAGGATGTTTGAATTTTAGTTTAGTGGTTTTTGTTATTTCGTCATGTTATTTCAGTTGTGTTTAAAGTTATGGTGTGTGTGAATAAAGGTTTGTTTAAGTAAATGGAGTCATGTCAATTCAAGGATATACACCAAGCACATAACCACCACGCCACCATAAAATGGTGACCCGGCGTCTACGACCATAAAATGGCAATCCGGCTACTTGCATGAAGATTATACTGGTCGTTCAAGAGCTTGGTTCCAGAACATTTGTGTTTTTTTTCCCTTCAGCCCCTGACATGAAGGAAACAGTAGCTGTCAAGATGCCAGTTTATAATCCGATTGACCCGGCATTGTGGTTTGCTATGTGTAAAGCAACTTTTGCTTTAGCCGTACCCAAGCCTATAACGGATTCGAAGACTCATTTGCCGCCGGAAATTGCTGCGTTGGTTAGAGATATCATTCTCCGGGAACTACAGATGCTTCTTACGAAGACCTCAAAGCTGCTATTACGGAACGCTGTGGTGAAAGCAGTACAAGTGAAATACGGAACTTACTCACCGGCGAGCAACTTGGAGATAGAAAGCCATCAGAACTTCTACGAGTAATGACTAGGAGGGCTGAAAAGTACAACGTGCCTGACTCTTTGTTACTGGAATTATTCATGCACCAGATGCCGCCAAATGTTCAGTCTATTCTAGCGTCGGTTGAGCCGCTCGATTCATCGAAAGCTGCCAGTATCGCGGATAGAATATTGGAAGTTACACCCGCTCAGGTAAGCGAAGTTTCTTCTTGTGTATCTCTCAATGTCTCTGAGAATTCTAAATTGGATTCCTCTGTTGGAGGAAGTGTGCAAATTGCGTAGCGAGGTTTTGTCTCTACGACGATCACGCAGTACTTCCAAAAATCGCTATAACAGGAAGCGAAGCCCTTCAGCTAAAGCTGCTTCGAACTGTGTTCCTATTGTTGGTATCATCATAAATTTAGTGACAAAGCTAAAAAGTGTGTTCCACCATGTACATTCCAGGGAAACTTACCAGGGAAAGTGTAGTGGCGACATGCGCTTTACCCTCTGAGTCTCGTCGTCTTTTCATTAGAGACAGGAAATCGAATAGAATATTTTTGTGCGACACTAGCTCAGACGTCAGTCTTCTTTCAGCAACCAGACATGAAGCGCGTCAAACACCTATTATGACGTTTTCTGTAGAAAATGGTACCCCTAATTTCAGTTTATGGACAAAAAGCGTTAAGTATTGACCTTGGACTTCGTCGTAATTTTAATTTTACTTTTTATGTGTGTAAAGTGTCAACAAATATTATTGGATCTGATTTTTTGCATTATTTTGATTTATTACCTGATTTAAGGAACAAAAAACTTGTTGATTTAAAAACACATTTAAAAATTAATTGCAGTGTAATTAACACACATTTATATTTTGTTAAAACAATTATTTCAAATTGTATTTATGATAAATTACCGTCTAACTATCCTTCGCTGTCAAAGCTTCCTGATCTCAATGAGACTGTTAAGCATAATACTATGCATTTCATTGAAACCATTGGTCCTCCTGTTTCATGTAAGCCAAAGAGATTAGCTCCAGATAGATTAAAAATTGTTAATCGTGAAATTCAGAAAATGATCGATTTAGGTCGCATGCGACCCTCCAAAAGTAATTACTCCTCTCCTCTTCACATGGTGTCAAAAAAGGGCACAAACGAATTGAAAGGGAGATTTTCGGAGGTTAAACGCTCAGACAGTGAAGGATAAGTATACTACTCCCAATATTTGCGATTTTGCAGCGGATTTACATGGAACAAAGGTATTTTCTCGATTAGATTTAGTTAAAGCATATCACCAAATTCCAATTAATCCCTCTGATATCCATAAAACGGCTACTGCCATTCCTTTTGGACTTTTTGAGAGCACAAGAATGCAGGTTTCAACGCTTTATTGATGAAGTAACTCGCGAGCTGCCAGGAGTATTTGCTTTTGTCGACGATATATTGATAGCGTCAAAAGACGAAAATGAGCATTTGATACACTTAAAAGCCCTTTTTGGAAGATTAAGTAATTATGGGTTAAGACTTAATGTATCTAAATGTAGTTTTGGTTTAACTTCTTTGGAATTTTTGGGTTTTCATGTATCTGAACAGGGTTTAAAACCTTTACCCGAGAGGGTAGAAGCTATTCAAAAATTTCCTAAACCAAACACATTAACTCAGTTAAGGAAATTTCTTGGCATATTTAATTTTTACAGACGTTTTGTCCCAAGAGCTTCACATGTTTTAGCTCCCTTGAATAGGTTACTGGAAGGCCGCATTAATAAAAGGAAACCTTCACAACCAAGCAAAACAAAAGAATATCCTCTCGAATGGGACGACGAAGCCGAGAAAGCATTCGAAAATGCAAAAAAGGCAATTGCTGAGGCAACCCTTCTCAAACACCCAATTCCTGGTGCGACTTTGAAACTTTGTACTCATGCATCGGACGTTGCGGCTTGTAGCTCATTAATGCAACTGCATAATTCAGTTTGGGAACCCATTGCGTTTCTATCCGTTAAACTCAGCAAAAGTCAAAGAAAATGGTCAACTTATGATCGAGAACTATTGGCAATTTATTTGTCTATTAGGAAGTTTCAGCACATGTTTGAAGGCAGGGTCTTTACAGCCTACACTGACCAAAAGCCCTTAATATATGCTTTTAAACAGAAGCCCGAAAAGTGTTCTCCACGACAACTTCGTTATCTTGATTTTATTGGCCAATTTTCCACTGACAGACGATACATTAAAGGTCGTTACAATATTGTTGCTGATGCCTTATCTAGGGTAGAAATAGATGCAGTATCTGATAATCAACACATTGATTATAAAAAGTTATCCGAAGTACAAATTCAGGACTCTGAAATTCAAAATTCCTTATCTCAATCTTCAATAGTTTTTAAACTTGAGAAACATTATTTTCCTTTAGAAGATATGTTACTCTTTACTGTAATATTGACACAGGTATACCTTGACCGTTCATACCTGAATCTTTTCGCTCTAAAGTATTTCAGAAGATTCACTGTTTTTCTCATGCTGGTGTAACGTCTTCAGCTATTTTCCCACGGACTCCCACGAAGTCTGGGAAAAGGAGACTTCAAATGGGCGCCAAATGACCACCCTGATGACACTTACGAATTCTTGAGGTCGAACGTGACCCCCAACAAAGTGCGGAAAGCACATTGTTTACGAAAGGAGAAAACTTTCATACAAGTTCTCACGGGTTGTGGAGTGTCCATTGTGTGTATGCGATAGACTGTCGCCAACTGCCTGTTTCTCGAAATAATTTAGATAGACCTCCCAAAAAGACGTTCTGAATTTTCCCACGGAAAATTTCAGTTTCTCAGGCTGTCAAGACAGTATCTGAGAACAAATCAGCGCCTGTTAACCAATGGAGAGATGCTCCGAAAAAGACGTTTAGCGAATCACTGCAGCAGACGCACAAGACACGCCCAGAAAACCTGGACATAAAAACAGTGAGTGAAAATAATTAGAGAGATTTTTTAGTCTGAAGAATACGCAGTCGTTGCGTAGAGAAGAGAGAGCCTTTCTCTTGTATTTTACTTTAGAGGCTCGCTTTCCCGAGTCGCTACTAAGCTCTGTCAAGAGCGGAAAAAGAAACTCTCAAAGAAGCGTAGCCGGACTTTTTCTCCGCTACCTCTGTTTGGACTTTGTTTGAACTCAAGTGATTATCGTTTCCTATTGTAAACGGACTATTTTGCTAAGCAAACTACTTTGTTATGATAAGCAGTTGAACTTACCTTAAAATTCAACTTGTGTAATTTAACACTTATCCTTTATTTTATTTACGCTACCCAAAATAAAAATCTGACTGTTCTCAAATCGCTACAGCTAGAAGGTATGTGTTAATTGGTGGCAGCGGTGGGATCGTAAAAACCCAATAGACAAACAAAGACGTGATCGTTTTGGAGAACCGTCCCGGTTCTTATCTTCATTCAGAATCAGCCGATTCTAGCAGTGGAAAAGAATTCTTTCGCAGTAAAGTTTGGAGAGTTTAACCAGCAGCTGAAAAGGGATCATCGATGAGAAGCGTTCGTGAAGAATCAACTACTACAAAGACTAGTTCCGGAAGTGCCTGGGAAAGAGTGTGAAGTAAAATTCTCCCTCGGGTGTAAAGACAAGACATAAGAAGTCCAGACAAGAGTGAAGTGTTGTGAATTCGCGTTTGGTGTTTACCACCCTCTGTGCAGTGAAAGTGCTTTTGGTGTTTAGTGAAAGAAGAATCGCCCAGTCGACTATTGTTCAATTGGTTTCCTTCTTCGGTCATTGAATCGCGTGTGCAAATAGAAAAGAAAGGAAAGAAGAGCTGTTATTTTTTTTTTTTTTGTCTGCAATGGGTAAGTTGATATGGCATTATCTTTTTAAAGAGGCATTTTAATGGAGTTTGTCTTTTGTGTATCGAAATTATATGTTTAAATGGTTACTCGTAAATGTTTTGTTTTTGATGAGTAGAGAATTTTATAATAGTATTTTCAACCTTTAGAAAGCACGCATCAGTTGTAAATTGAGTCAATAAGTATTGCTCTTTGTGACTAATATTCTTTTGCCAATAAGTATTTAGCAAATTTTTTTTATATACTGCATTAAGTATGGTTATGTGTTAAGCTGCAACAGATTATTTAAGAAATGCTTAATTTACTTTAATTTTTTTTCCTATGTTGCTAATGGTACGTATTTTATGTCATACATACCATAAATTGCATTGCTATGTTGTTTTACTGTAGTATTTCTGGATAGTGTGAAACTTTCAGAGTAGACAAACTGGTACCTTTAGTTTTATTTTATTGTATCATTTTAAAATTTTGTCACTGGCAAAATGTCATATCTTGGCAAGGGTAGAAAGCAAGACCTCATAAATCTGTCTGTAGAATTAGGTCTAGAAGTTCCCCCAAATGCAAAAATACAAGATCTTAAAAACCTCATTGTACAGAGCCCTCAGTATGACGAAAAATTCGTCGAGGCAACACTAGAGTCGATTATCGAAGCGCGAATCGAACAACATAGACTCGAAGAAGCCGAAGAGCGTAAACTTGAAAGGGAAAGGGAGAGAGAATTTGAATTAGAACGTCTAAGGTTGACAAACGCCAATAATGGCAGAGAAAATTCTCAAAATAATATTCCGAGATCTATGAGAGATTTGCAAAATTTAATGCAGAGATATAATCCCGAATCATCGGATATTTCGCTTTACTTAGCGATGTTTGAGCGTCAGGCTCGCAAAGCGAAGGTAGAGGAAGGAGACTGGGTGTCACATTTGATGGCTCTATTGCCAATGGACATTGTTTCTATTATTCTACGAGAGCCGGAACAGGAGCTAGATAATTACTCCTACGTAAAGAAAATTCTTTTGCAGCGGTTTAAGTTGAACCCAGAGGCGTTCCGCGTCAAATTTGTTCAACACCAGCGTCGTGCGGGTAGTTTATATAAAGACTTTGCTTTTGAGTTAAAAAACTATCTAGATGAATGGTTAAACGGAGTAGACGTACGAGATTTCGATGCGCTAAAAGACTTAATGTTGACGGATCAAATTAAACGTCGAGTAAACAGCGAAATTCGCGAACACTTCGTGGATGAGTGGCCGAGTATAATATCTTCTGCCGAACTAGTGAAGAAATTAGATGAATATGAAGCAGTACGAAAGTCCGTAAAAAAACCAACAGGTTTTACTAAAAATACCGAACAGGATTCAAATATTAAAGAAAGGAAAAAAGGAGAATTTTCAGATCGAGTACGTCGCCATGATAATGTTTCGAAAGAAAAAACTGCGGAGAAATGGAAGTCAAGTGTTTTCGAAAAACGGAGAATACCTAGATGTTATGAATGTAATTCAGATAGTCATCTCCGACCTCAGTGTCCTCGGTTAAAAAGACAAGAGGCCGCTGAAGAAACTGTAAACAAACTAGGCACTTCAGAATCTCCAGATACATGGCTAGCTCCCTATATGAGTATAGCGAGAGTAAATAATCGAGAAATGCCTGTACTCCGAGATACTGGCTCCACTATCGATCTGATCGGATGGGACCAAGTAACACATCAGATGCTTCTAGGAGAGACAGTGTGGGTTAAGCAGCCGCTAGATTTACATCCCTGGTGTTTACCCTTGGCTCGAATTGAATTAGAGGGAGAGGACTTTGGGAAAGTCATTACTAAAGCCGCAGTGATTAGCTCCGACCTGAATCAAGAATATTATCTGCTGGGAAATCGAACAGCCCGATTGATAGAACAGAATAAAATGCAGCCCCATAAAATCAATGCTGTTATGACTCGCAGTCAAACGAAAGCTTGCAGCAGGAAAGAAAATTCCCCTAGCCAAGGTCCAGAGAACAACGAAGTTGAGCGCCCCGCGGGGCGAATGAATGACGAGGAGGAGGGTGAAATTTCCCCCGTTAGAAGGGTCAGCGCGGGATGCGCAGAAGGAGAAAACCACTTACCCCCCCCGGTCGAATGACGAGCCGATGAATACTCTATTAGGAGTGACAAAGGAAGATTTTATCAAGGCTCAAGACGAGTGCAATACCTTAAGCGATCTCCGAAGGCAGGTACAAGAACAAAGGACCGCTGGAAAACGGGAGTTTGTCCGAGAAGACGGTTTGTTTTTTCGAATTTCCGAAGATCACCATGGGAATAAAAGAAAACAGCTAATCATTCCTGAAAAGCTGCGGGAAAAGGTAAAGGTTTTGTGCCATGAAGGAACGGCTGCAGCACATTTAGGGGTTACGACGAAAACGAAAGATAAACTTTTAAGGTATTTTTATTGGCCAGGTTGCTTTAAAGAGATAGAAGAGCATGTTCGCACGTGTGACCCGTGTCAAAAGGTGGGAAAACCCGGAGAAAAGAAAAAGGCACCTATGAAATTAGTACCCATTATAACTGAGATTTTTTCTAAAATCAATATCGATGCTTGCGGACCCCTACCAGTCACTCCGGACGGAAATAAATATATCATAACTGCCATCTGTATGTCCTCCAAATATCCTGATGCAGTCCCCGTTGCAGATATCAGTTCCGTGACGGTAACGGACGCGTTGATGAAAATTTTTAGCAGAATGGGGTATCCCAAAGAGGTCCAATGTGATCAGGGAACTTCCTTCACGAGCAACCTAACAACCGAGTTTTTCACAAAATTTGGTATCAAAGTGACTCACAGCTCTGTTTATCACCCGCAGTCGAACCCCGTAGAGAGACTTCACCGCACAATCAAGAGACTCTTGCGAGTGCTGTGTTTAGAGGCCGGATCGGAGTGGGAGAAACATCTCCCATCTGTTCTGCTAGCATTGCGTACGGTTACACACGAAAGTATGGGATTTAGTCCCGCCGAATTAGTCCATGGTAAGAACCTAAGGACCCCAGAAACACTATTGTATGAACACTGGGTTGAGCCCCAAGAGGAGAATGTCACTGTTACGGATTATGTTCTCTCGTTAATAAATAGACTGAAAAGGTTGCCAAGATCTAGCTTTGAAAGGTTAGGAGAGTTGCAGGGAAAACGTAAACTCTGGTATGATAAGAAAGCAGTTAAGAGACAATTTAAAGAAGGGGACTGTGTGTTAGTCGTTGCCCCCTCGAAAGCAAATCGATTATCAGTTCAATGGTTCGGCCCTGGTATTATTGAGAGTCAACTCTCAGAGACTAATTACGTAGTGAAATTACCGGGAAAAAAAGAGCGTTCTCAGATATATCATGTTAATATGCTGAAGCCATACCATCAGCGGCCGGAGACAATTAATCTACTATTGCAAGAGGTTGATGATAAAGGTTTAGAACCGGAAGTTGATATTCCATACTTCACTGCTGATCCAAATGTGTACGACTTTGAAGATATAACTCGGGAGAGTAAACTAGAAGAAAGGTTGAGTTCTGAACAGATAGCTCAGTTGCAGACTTTGCTAAATACATACATGTCAGTGTTCTCTAACGAACCTGGGATAACCGATTTAGTAGTTCACGACATTGAATTAATCAATAATCAGCCCGTGAGATCGAAGCCATACCGCACATCACCTAGGAGAAATGATATTTTAAAGTCAGAAATCCGGAGAATGCTGGATATGAAAATAATCGAAATCGGCGAATCGGATTACACCTCTCCTATGATTTTGGTGGAGGCTCCGAACAAAGACCCCCGGCCTTGTATTGATTACAGACGTCTGAATCAAGTAATTAGGACCGAATTTTTCCCGTTACCGAATATTGAAGAAAGGGTCGAGACGGTAGCTTCGGCTAAATATAATATTATATTAGATTTAGCAAAGGGTTATTGGCAGATTCCGCTCAGCCCCAAGGCCCAGCGTCTTGCCGCGTTTGTAACTTTCTTTGGCACTTACCGTCCGCTAAGAATGCCCTTCGGGCTTAAAAACGCTCCGTATTTCTTCAGCACAAATACTTCAGGGATGCGAAACATACGCAATTCCCTATCTAGATGACATCGCCATATTTTCAAATGACTGGAGTGAGCATTTAAAGCACTTAGGCCAAGTGCTACTACGAATATTGCACGCAAATCTTAAGATTAAATCGTCAAAATGCAAGTTTGCACAAAATCATGTAAAATACTTAGGGCATGTGGTAGGAAACGGTTTCCGAACGCCTACGGAAGTGAAAACAGAAGCGATTCTGCAGTTTCCTCAACCCACAACAAAGACTCAAGTCAGAGCGTTCCTTGGTTTTTAACAGGCATATTACGGACACTACATCCCCAAGTACTCTATAATAGCTGCACCCCTCACAAACTCACTGAAGGGGAAATCTAAGAAAGGAGCTATAGACTGGACTGAAGAATGCGAGCTAGCCTTCCGGGAGTTAAAAAAAGGCTATTAACCGAAAAACCTGTGTTATTCGCACCTGACTATACAAAGGAATTCATTGTACAAACAGACTCCTCCGATGTTGGAATGGGAGTCGTTCTTTCGCAACGGGATGATCTCAACAAAGAGCATCCGATTTTATATTTAAGTAAAAAGTTCTCAAAGGCAGAACAAAACTACAGCACTACGGAAAAGGAGTGCGCGAGTATCATTTTTGCCATAAAAAAATTGCATCATTATTTAGATGGGCAAAGGTTCAAAATCGAAACAGATCATAACCCCCTGGTGTGGCTAAACAAAAACGCAAGTTCAAACCCGAGATTAATGAGGTGGTCTCTAGTGTTGCAACCTTATAACTTTGAGGTAGTTTACCGCCCAGGCAAATTGAATAAAAATGCTGATGGGCTGAGTCGTTTCGAATCGGGCGAAACATAGAGTGTAAAGAGGTGATCATGCCAGTTTCTTATCTGAATAAGTATTTTGTATACAGTAAAAGTGTAATATAAGAATATATCATCAGTTATTTTGTCCCTTTGTTAAGAATATTTGTGATGTGTATGTGTATGTGTATATATATATGTGTGTGTGATTCTGATTTTAAATATTCCATTAATTCTCGCCTCTAAAGTTAATGCCTTATTGACTTATATGTGAACTTTTCAATAGTGACATTACTAGTACTGTTATTAATCAATGTAGCTGTGTTCCTGTAAAGGTGTGTTTGAAAGTGTTATCGAGAGAACAGTTTATTTCGTGTCATTTTTAAATTAGTGAAATGATGAGGAGAACTTTCCTCTTCGTTTCAACTCGAGAAAAGTTCTTCCGAAGGGGGAAGGAATCTATAGCTGTAACGTCGTCAGCTATTTTCCCACGGACTCCCACGAAGTCTGGGAAAAGGAGACTTCAAATGGGCGCCAGATGACCACCCTGATGACACTTACGAATTCTTGAGGTCGAACGTGACCCCCAACAAAGTGCGGAAAGCATATTGTTTTTACGAAAGGAGAAAACTTTCATACAAGTTCTCACGGGTTGTGGAGTGTCCATTGTGTGTATGCGATAGACTGTCGCCAACTGCCTGTTTCTCGAAATAATTTAGATAGACCTCCCAAAAAGACGTTCTGAATTTTCCCACGGAAAATTTCAGTTTCTCAGGCTGTCAAGACAGTATCTGAGAACAAATCAGCGCCTGTTAACCAATGGAGAGATGCTCCGAAAAAGACGTTTAGCGAATCACTGCAGCAGACGCACAAGACACGCCCAGAAAACCTGGACATAAAAACAGTGAGTGAAAATAATTAGAGAGATTAGTCTGAAGAATACGCAGTCGTTGCGTAGAGAAGAGAGAGCCTTTCTCTTGTATTTTACGGCTCGTCCCGAGTCGCTACTAAGCTCTGTCAAGAGCGGAAAAAGAAACTCTCAAAGAAGCGTAGCCGGACTTTTTCTCCGCTACCTCTGTTTGGACTTTGTTTGAACTCAAGTGATTATCGTTTCCTATTGTAAACGGACTATTTTGCTAAGCAAACTACTTTGTTATGATAAGCAGTTGAACTTACCTTAAAATTCAACTTGTGTAATTTAACACCTATCCTTTCATTATTTTATTTACGCTACCCAAAATAAAAATCTGACTGTTCTCAAATCGCTATTTCAACTTCAACAAAATTAATTACTAAGCGCTATTTTTGGCCTGATATGAAGAAATTTATTAAAACTGCAGTTCAATCATGTCTACAACGCCACGTTCTAAATTCATAGGCATACGAAACACGTTGGGTACCTTTTCCTTGCCTGATGCAAGATTTGCACATATCCATATAGATTTCATAGGTCCTCTTCCACCGTCTGAAGGTAACCGTTATTGCATGACAATTAGTGACAGGTTTAGCAGATGGCCAGAAGTCATACCTACTGTCGACATATCAGTTCAGATGACTTGTAAAGTGTTGGTGCATAACTGGATAGCAAGATTGGCTGCCCGGTATCAATAACAACTGATCAAGGCCGAAATTTTGAATCTCACTTATTTAAGGATTTAATGAAAAAAATTTTGGATACACATCGCATTAGAACTACTGCTTATCATCCTCAGTCCAATAGACTGATTGAGAGATTTCATAGGCAACTTAAAATTTCAATAATGGCTCATAACAACCCAAAATGGACTTAAATTCTGCCTATTGTTCTGTTGGGTATTAGATCTGCCATTAAGAAAGATAAAAATGCTACTTGCGCTGAACCTGTCTACGGTACTACACTTAGATTACCGTCAGATATGCTGAATGCTACAAATATTGTATCGCCTACTGAATCTTATGTGTCACAAGTTCGATCAGTCATGCATTTAGTTAGACCTATTCCAACCTCTAGGCATATTCAAATCACCAATTTATGTACATCCAGCACTTCAAACCTGTTCTCATGTATTTCTGCGTATCAATTCTGTTAAACCACCTCCACCTTATATTGGTCCTCATACCGTGGTTAAACGAATGGATAAAAATTTTATTATTGAGGTAAATAACAAAAAGATTACAGTTACAATCGATCGTTTAAAACCAGCATATATGTTGTCAGAATGTATAAATTCACCCGTAATTCCTGTTTCCACAAGAAGTCTGCGAAGACTCAAAAATTGTTCCAA